AACAAAGAATACTACAATATATTTTCACTATTATTGACCTTGAACAGCTACCATATGCACGATACAGTCTAGATATGGCTCCGTGTGATTTTCTTCCTTTTCTCCAAGTTGAGGAGGGTTGAAAGAAAATGTTTTTTACTCATTGGATGAGGTTTAGAGTGGCAATCCAGCAGCATTTGTATCACATAAGCAATGGCGGCTTCATTAAATGTCTTTCATTCATTGGTAAATCGGTATGAAAAATGTGTTCAAATTCGTGGAAAATATGTTGAAAAGTAGGTCTTAATATGTGAAAATGATGATGGTAGATGACACTCAGACTGAAAATCGAAAATACTCTCATATCATGACTGGTATTAGGTTGTGCACCTGCGCCTAAAGTATTTGCCATATTATAACAGTTGTGACGTAATTTACTATATTTAAATACCGTTCCGGGTGGCAGAGACCCGGTATCAAAAAATATTTAGAAAAGTAGCTAAAATATGTTATTTTCTGTTAAAACTTATACACAAAGTTGTTAAGATGTTGATCTTTATTATCTGAAAGTTTCATGTAATTATATTAGAAAATAGCAAAGTTAGAGCGGGGTGTCCAAGACTTTTGGATCACCCCTCGTATGTGTAGTCATGACGAAATCAACATTAACCTTCTGCAATTTTGAAAGACAATGTAACGGCCGTTACCGTCTCCTGATGGTTCCTACTCCAAGGCCTCAAAACAACACTATGAGAATTCTATCCAGGAGATCCATAACAAAACGATTCCGAACTTTACATAATTTCTCTGATTTTCTACAAATTATTGTGAAGTCGTGATTTACATATAATAGTAGAATCTGTCTAAATGTGTCATTATTTTATTTGATTAAAGATTATTATTACGCATGAACAGTGTCCTCACGTATGAGTGGAAATTAGACCTGGCCTCCCGTGAAAAAAGTCATGATAGTTAAAGATGTTAAATGCAGAAAAGAGTGAAAATAATTGAATAAAGCAAGGAATAAAGCACACAGGTGCGAGGTGTAGACTTCAAATTGTATACAAAAAAGGAAGATCAAATATTTCACTCATCCTTTTGAGGGAAATGCTGTATACAATTATAACTAGAAACAAGTTTTGAAGGTAATAACAAAGTTGTTGCTCATAACAAAGTTATAACTAATAGGCGAGGATCAGAATTAATGTCCATTATGCTTATAAGTAATTAATAAAAGAAAAATGTTACCCGTCTACCGGCAAAATTAGGATATGGAGATGAAACTGCCACTGATTAATGAGTATCTTCCTTATGAATAGTAAGAGGAGACAGAAGACACAGCGTTATAGATAGGTATGGCGCATGGAACATGATTTGTGCCGACAGAAAACGAAGACCTGCAGTAATATCTTGTTAGATGCCTCGGTTACGACTAAATGGATTATTTGCTGAACAGCTCTAGCGAGCTCTAGTTGTTGGAAATATTAAGGACGTCTGTTGAGTTCCAAGTGTTCTTGGCATCTAAATTTTACGACTTGTCGAAGTAATCTTGACAGAAGTCATTTACTTACATTATCAAATACACTTGATATGTTGATTTTCAATTTTCAATTCAATTTTGTGTTTATTCGAGAGATAAATGTTGAAATTAAGTCAACATTTTTCGTCAGCAAACACATTTTTGCACCATCTCTTATGACTCGTATACGAGTAGGTAGTTATCAGTTTCACCAAAAGGTGGCTCGTTCGGGTCAGATAGCATGGCGGGTATAGTAGAACGTCTCTTTTAACTTAAATATTTAAAGAACATGTTATCTGTCCAATACAAAAAAAAGATATTTCATTTTTTTGTGATTTTATAACATGGGGTCTATGGGGAATCTCCCCGAACTAGAAAACACATTTTCAAAAAAAATGTTTCAAAGTTGATAAACAATTTCCGAAACCATATTCCTTTTACATGTAGATTTCAAATATGACATTACTTTTACTGGGTTTTGAATATTTAGTGACGTAAATCAAAATTATTTCTACTCGCATCTAATCATTCATATCAGAGGAGACACTGGAGATATAACTGGAGATTAATTGTAAGTTAAGTTTCCCTATATATTACTAAATATATTACTAAATGGAAATTCTGAAGTTTCAGCCTCTCATTTTTCTTGATAGACATCCTGAATCTAAACATCAACAAAATGTAGAAATCAACACTTATAAACAAATACCCCGAAAACATACCTGCGTTCTGGGCTGATACTTCAAAGGGTACCGCTAAACGTTTACCTTATCGAACATAACTTTTTCAAGTGGAGGTAGATTCAGTTTGAGACATGTACGTAATTTATGGCTGGCATGCATATAAGTATTATAATCACAGAAAAAACAACCTCTCCGACACTGACAACGAACGCCAGTACCAAAAAGGCGTTTAACAATGACATAACAAGGCATTAACATGACAAAATGTCACCACCTAAAACAATTTGGTCAATTCAAAGCAAGTTGGAAAATACCTTTTGACCTTAAGAAGGTTTGATTTGAACTTCTTAGAACATGTAGATGATTTTGAAAAAAAAAGTCGTCAATTTGAAGCAAGTTGAAAAAATACCTCTTTGACTTTTTTTGACATTGAGAAGGTCATTGAAGGTCAAATGTAAAGTCAGATTTGAACTTCTGAGAACATGTAGATGATTTTGAAAAAAAAATTAAGTAAATTTGAAGCAAGTTGAAAAAAGACCTTTTTGACCTTGAAAAGGTCATTGAAGGTCAAATGTCAAATCTAAAGTCAGATTTGAACTTCTGAGAACATGTAGATGATTTTGAAAAAAAAGTAGTCAATTTGAAGCAAGTTAAAAAAAGACCTTTTTGACCTTGAGAAGGTGATTGAAGGTCATTAAAGGACAAATGTCAAATCTAAAGTCAGATTTGAATTTCTGAGAACATGTAGATGATTTTGAAAAAAAAATTAGTCAATTTGAAGCAAGTTGAAAAAAGACCTTTTTGACCTTTTTTGACCTTGAGAAGGTCATTGAAGGTCAAATGTCAAATCTAAAGTCAAATATAAAGTCATATTTGAATTTCTGAGAACATGTAGATGATTTTGAAAAAAAAATTTAGTCAATTTGAAGCAAGATGAAAAAATACCTTTTTGACCTTTTTTGACATTGAGAAGGTCATTGAAGGTCAAATGTGAAATCTTAAGTCAGATTTGAATTTCTGAGAACATGTAGATGATTTTGAAAAAAAATTTTAGTCAATTTGAAGCAAGTTGAAAACAGACCTTTTTGACCTTTTTTGACCTTGAGAAGGTCATTGAAGGTCAAATGTCAAACCTTAAGTCAAATCTTAAGTCAGATTTGAATTTCTGAGAACACGTAGATGATTTTGAAAAAAAAATTTAGTCAATTTGAAGCAAGTTGAAAACAGACCTTTTTGACCTTTTTTGACCTTGAGAAGGTCATTGAAGGTCAAATGTCAAATCTAAAGTCAGATTTGAAGGTCAAATGTCAAATCTAAAGTCAAATCTAAGTCAGATTTGAATTTCTGAGAACATGTAGATGATTTTGAAAAAAAATTTAGTCAATGCGAAGCAAGTTGAAAAAAGACCTTTTTGACCTTGAGAAGGTCATTGAAGGCCAAATGTCAAATCTAAAGTCAGATTTGAACTTCTGAGAACATGTAGATGATTTAGAAAAAAATTGAAGTCAGTCTAAACAGTATTTGTTAAGTTATAGGAAGTTGTAAGAAATTGTTACAGACGCCGGACGCCAACCTCCAACCGCCGGACGCCAACCTCCAACCGCCGGACGCCAACCGCCGTCGCAAAAAAACGGAGACCATAACAATATGTCACCACTTTTGGTGGTGATATACTAAAAACCATTTGTTTATTACTAATGTGCTTTGTAACGTTCAAAATATACGTTTTTTTATTCATTTATTTCAGCTAAACATAATTATTTACAGGTATGTTACAAATATGAGGTTTCGAATTCATAAAGAGAAATTTTAAAAGAGATATAAGTTACTCACACATTTTTCAATATACCATTTGTGAATAGATAACTCTGCTATCAGTATATCTTTGTAATTCTTTACTTTACCTATTCCATATATTTGATTGACCCCCGTTCAAAATATACGTGGGAAATACTCCAAATGCGAATTTTTTTCAGAAAATGGGCCTGACATGAAATGATGACAGCGATTGATACATTGTAAAATTGTGACAATTTTTCGAAACGTATTCACAACTCGTCTCTGTCCTTTCTCATCACTTTATCTTATAGTATTGGCGTAAGTTAGTATTGCAATGCAATCCCACATTTATCTATCATAACTAATGTGTAATAAAGTGTTATTCTATATTGCCAGCGAAAAATTACACCCTGTGCCCTATTTATTCACATCTGTCATGACCATCGGCAACATCCCTCACAATTTCTAACTCATGCGCCTTATTATGTCTGAGAATATTGGATCAAGTCTTTTTATTCCGATTTTGGTGTAACGTTATTCATTTTTTCATTTTGTTGGAGTTTACGTTTTCAAAGCACAGCGACTTCAATGTATTGAAACACACACCATAGTTTTCTTTATTAAGAATATCTATAGTAAAATGTATTTGATTCCTGATTAATAAGCAAACTTTCGGTAGAAATATTGGTTGTGGTAAAGTTCAGTTCCTTTCAGACATCTCAGATTAGCAAAGAATTGAAAAATCCCAACCTCTCTTTTATCTTATTTCCGAAAGAAAAGTATACTATTTTGGCCATCTTTCTTTGCTCATTGAGCATTCTTTGTGATATTATTTGTTTGGTTATACATTGTTGGTTTATGAGAAATCATTGGAAATCAGTTTTGCTAACAACATGGCAAGTAGTACAAAATCCCCGGACAAAATCAGTAAAGGAAACTTAAAAAATCAAGAATTAGAGAAAAAACAAAACATCCATTGCTCCTACAAACATACAGTTCAAATAAAACGCAGAAAAAAACAAATGCAAAAAACACCATACCTGTGATTGCATCTGCAGATCCGTTTGTGTTGCAATTAGTCCACGCAAAATACGAGTTATCCAATATATAGCCGACACTAAATCTACATCCACTCATCCAGGACCTTTTTGTCTGAAGTAGCTTAGAAGTTATTAAACGTTTGATGCAATCAATCTATCAAAATAAGATATACTTTAATAACACATTTATCAATCAAATAACATGATTGAATCAAAACTGTAGTTGATAAATTGATGGCTTCTTATTGATTTCTGATTATATCTCACATTGAAGTTGGCTATCAACCGTGTTGATAGGAAACAAGAATTATAGTTACTAAGCAATTAGCCTCAGGTAAAGAACTATACAGATCTCACGAGTATTTAGTTAGTTAAATCAAATGCCAATGGCCCGGTGCATCCTTAGAGGCGTGAATTTCCTGAATGTAGATCAGTACTATGTCTGCTCTGTGATCAAAACAATCTATAGTAAGCTTAACTGGACGATTTCCATGTAGATTTACAGCTCTTTGCAGTATTTTCAATTTGTTATCTGAATCTAACAGATTTTGGCATCACTTGCTAAAACATAATATGTTGATTTTCTCAAGTCATCCATCAACTAGACTGTTTCAAAATTACTCGAGCGATTATGCATCGGATATGCCAGTGAGTTGCCGAATAATTTTCTATTACAAGAGAAAATAAAATTTGCGTTTAGCCGCTGCATTAGCTCACAAGGTCTTTAAAGCCGTAGAAGAGTAATTCTGACCGAAGTTATTAGTGTATTGTCAGCAACAGCAATGTAATCTTGCAAAATATTACTCATGCCAATATCACATTCCGAGATGGGGACGACAATAATAGTCAACACATTCCAGAGAATCTTTGATTCTGCGTCACGTGGCTTAATCAAATATATGATGAAGGTGCAATGAATTATTATCATTGTATACTATTCTACTTGAGTATCATCATCGTGTTTAATATTCTCTTTCTTTTGTAATCTCACTTTTACTTTCCTTTTCCTGTTGAAAACTACTAGGGCTCCCAGTGGACAAAGGCAGACAATTGACAAGGAAGAACAAGGGAAGGGCAAAGATAATACAAGTTACAACAGATTGAATGAACAATATAGTGTAGTGCCTAGAAGCTATAAAATCATATAACAAGGTATTAACATGCAAAATGTCACCACCTGCCATTTGTTGCAGACGCCACCTACCAACCGCCAAATGCTGACCCGGGCGCTGACCACCGAACATTGTCCACAAAAATTCGGAGAGTATAAGAATATGTTACCACTTCTTGTGGTGACATACAAACACTGAAATATCGTAACATCTCGACACAGAAATATTGATAAGGGGTAAAGCCTACGCCATTATCGCCCACCATTCGCACGTCACAGGACAGTAACTGTACAAAAGACATAACCTTCCTACCACCTACATAGGGTCCTAATTGGAAAGTATTGTCCTCTGCAGGACAAGGATCCTCTAATTAGTAATTCTGTAATCACAAAACATGAAACGCTTTAGCTACAAACAAATAAAACACAACACTGAACAAACAATTAAAAACACTAGGGGGAAATCGCAAGAATCGGATAACACAACCCGCAAACACCCGGAAAATGTTTATCCCCAGAGTGCATCGGTAAACAATATATCGAGGGTGGTGTATACGTGTGAGGATTGATTCCAAAACCAAATCCGGGTCAGTAACCGTTTCCTCATATTGTTTATTGTCGATATTTGACTTGGATTTTCTCTCACCTATAGAAGAAGTTTATTTTCTACTCACATGATAGAGAGTCTTATGATAATGTTGTTGACCATGTTGGTGAACTGATGAGTCCTGTTGACACCACGTTCTCCTGAAGAAAAAAAATATTCACGCACAAGTGTCAAAGGGAAAGGACAAAAATTGTTACAGAACCCAGCACCAAAACGAAAACATCGAAGTATACACCAGTCACAATGAAAATAAATCTCAATTGTACCTGAAACCATAATCCAATGTGAAAAGAAACAATGTCTAATACGGATTCAAGTTTCATTACTACAAAAGTATTCCACTTAAAAGAGAAACTGGACAGTGTAAAATGAAAATAAAATGTCATACTTTTTTGTCCGATTGTGAGTTTTTTGTCCGGCGGGAACAACATTAAGCAAAATTGGAAACATTTGCAAAACAACAATACAATCATTTCAAAAATGAATAGGCCTAAAACCTGATTGATAATTGTAAATGTATGCCAAAGTTGAATGAATAGTTTATTAAATAATACACGTATATTCGCAAACGACTTGTTTTAAACTTTGTAGATTTAGATAATTATGACAGGTATGGTAGGCCAGTGATAAATGGTGTAACCTTTGCATATCATCCATCCAATCGTATAGTTACAGCTGACTGCGGATGTGGCATGATAAGTCATTCAGTGTGAATTAAATGAGATTGCATAAATCATGTATGAGCTCATCTCATCCTTCCCCGTCCGGTGTACTTCATTTTTTAAAAGAAAGGCAATAACCTCAATAAGGGCTCAGTAGGGCATTAGCTGCTATATGTCTACAGTATACGAGGGAAGGCCACAAGTGCCATAACTACTTAGTATGAAATATATTACAGACTACAATTTGATCCAGGAATCAACCAAGGTATATCTTTTCTGGCGTTTGTGAGTAAAGAGGTGTGACCTTATAACATATGAAAAGTGTATTCACTTTCAAAACACCATATTACTCCATGATATGACTCCACCAGATGAAGAATTCGTATAAGCGCAACTCATTTGAACCAATATTTAAGGGGTGCTCCTGCGGACCTAAATCCCCACCGGTTCTTTAAACTACATCTGCCCACATCCCTTAAACCTTGATATTCTTTGCTTTGCTCAAATATATTTGCCGAGTCCTAAATACGAACAAGTTGTGTTGCACATGTGTTTTTCATTTCAATACCTTTACCTAAGATCCAACAAATAGTATCATGGATACTGTGCACACATGTTTGTAGTCGAATTGGGAGTCATATTATGACAGTTTGACGATTTTCAATCTTGCGATGAATAATTTCAAATTAATAGATTAAAACATTTTCTCAGATTATTTTTAGAATTCTATCTAAACCAAACACGTTAGTTCTTTTAAATGTGAGAACATTTATTCACAGGCTGGTATCGAAATATTTGTCCGCTGTGACGGAGCAAATGTGAACTGTGAAAATGCTCCGTCACAGCGGACAAAAAATATTAATATTATTTTTTATAAAAAAAATTAAAAAGACCCAATGCATTAATATCTCATTAATACATTCAGAGTTATGCTGAAAACATATGTTAATATTATCGTGTCACTATATCATGCCATTAAGAAGTTAAAAAAGAAATGGTACATTTTAGAGTTTGATACTCTGGCGCCGTTTGCAATAGATTTTACTCCTAGCGTTATTGGACTTCAAACAGAAATGAAGGTTACACGCAAATGATATATCCATTGCATGGAGTAAGTAATTATCTTTGATATAACCAAACATATGAGTTAGAAAATAAATCGTGAGGCATTCTTAGTGTTTTTATGAAAAATAGCATGCTCCGTCACAGCGGACAAATCTTTCGATACCAGCCTGTGGTATTTGAAAAATCGAATCTGAGCAATGATTTATGATGGCTGTAAACGTCATTTTCGACCCCAACAATGGCGGTCATTCTGTTTTTATGCAAACCGAAGCACTAATTCGCAAGTTATTGCTAAAAAGTTATTTCCCTCGAAATGGTGGCCAAAAAGTTTTTGAATCGGAAGACAGAGTTTTTTTCTATTATTGATAATGAACACAAATAGGGGGAAGATTACACTTAAAGAGGGACAGACAGAAGACAGAAAGACAAGTACGCAAATGCAATAGCTAATCGTTTGAGTTAAAAAGCTTAGGGGTGGCACAACGTTTGTACACGTAATTTGTTTTGTGAGATCTTTTCATGGATATAATAATTGAAAAACTAACTGGTCCAAGTACACAAACAAAAATAATTAACCCTAACGCCTGCAGGGGAGGGGGTGGTCAACTTGAACCCCCTCAATGGTACTTTTTGTGCCTCCGTTGTTTTTCTAGCTTGAGTCACAGATAAATGACCAAAGTGATTGGGGGTAGAGGGGCAAAGTTATGTTACTCGGAATAATTAATAATGATATGCCAATAACAATGAATTTCATAAAATATTGATAATGACTTTGTTTTTAATACTGTCGATAAAGCAAAGTGATCAGTATTGCTCTGCTTGATGGCTAATCATTTAGCACATTGAATTACCTTTATTTTCATGAAAATCGAGCCACTATTGACGACATTATGTTATGAATTTTAAAAGGTAAAATACAGTTAATCGTCAAATAATTGCCAATTGCTTTCTCCCTGAGGAATTTTCAAAAACTACTTACTTGAAAAATTGTTTGCACGCTCCTCGATGTTAATGCAAACTTTGGTGTCGAAATTAGAATGATAACCCTCTCCAAAATTTAGATACATTCTTTATTCTCCCATTTCCCCAATTCAATTTCACTAATTAATTAATATTCCGTTGCCATGTGGTTGCTAGGCAAAATCATGGACCAAATCCATGACATGACATAACATAACATAACGTTGGAATAATAGCAAATCAAGCATTTATGAGCGTATTTATTTTTACCAAATCACTTATTATGTCACCACCAAAAAGTGGTGACATTGTTATGGTCTCCGTTTTTTGACGGCGGGTGCCGTTTGGCGTCTGCAACAAATTCTCAAAACTTCCAATAACTTAACAAATACTGTTTAGACTGACTTCAGTTTTTTTCAACATCATGTACAACTTTTCAGAAGTTCAATTATGACTTTAGTTTTGAGATTTAACCTTCATTGACCTTCTCAAGATCAATAAAAGGTCAAAGAGGTCTTTTTCAACTTGCTTCAAATTGACCAATTTTTTCGGAAGCATCTACAAGTTATCACAAGTTCAAATCTGACTTGAGATTTGACCTTCATTGACCTTCTCAAGGTCATAAAAAGGTCAAAAGGGTATTTTTTCAACTTGCTTCAAATTGACCATTGATAATGTTTACAACAATACCAACATTATTTAAATCAGACAAGTAATTAAAAGTCGACGTGGGGGGCCAAATGACCCCTCTCTTGCGACTTACTGTGGTTAAAAAGGTTTCAGACATTACGATTGACTCCTCAG